AAATTAATATTTACTACATTATACAAAATTTTAAGATTAGGCCATATTCAGGTGTTTTCTAGAGCATATCTGTAAAAAATAAACCTTGAAACGTTTAGGGCTTCTGATACGTTGTTATAGTTTCACTCTTGCTTGGCTGTACATTTTAAAATTAGATCATTTTAAAATTGGGAATATGTTGTTGGTTATGATTTTGATTTTAACAAATAGAGCACTGAAGAATGACAAGGTAAACCATATTTTGTGATAAAAATTGAAAGTGGATGTACCATGTTGGATTCATCAGTACATGTGAATTTATAGGGTGGATATCACATAATGGGACAAATAATATACCTACTTTATTTTTGTCATCTATTAGTCGATTTTACGAATACCAAAGTACAACAAATATGATTTTTCTCTAAAATATGTGAACACCTGACGAATTTCTCGATAGAACACAAATTTATTTTTTTTTTGTAAGATTGACCTACTATGTGATGTGCGCCTCTGCGTGCTCTGCATATAATTTCAAAAGTGAACACCAATAAGGGGGCACTAGAGTTATATTTCTCGTTGTACTCTATGTTTAAATTCTATGAAGTTAAATGTGTGCATAATACAATGTAAAAAATGTATATACATATATAACGATAAGAGCATGAAAATTTTCTGTGGTCTTGCAGTGGTGATTCTGTTTGGAATCGTCACCTAGTTTTTTTTTTAATTTAATAGCCTCATGGGAAACCCTTGTCGTGTCCCTCAGTTGACTAGTTATTTTTTAATGAATAAGTGTCTTAATCCATAGTGGAATTGGAAGGTTGTATCCAGTTAGCTGAGGGTGGCGAGCCTGAAGGATATAAAGCTTATGAATCAAAATATCGCTTAGCTTTTTACCATGTGTGATAATAAAATGTCTATATTTATAATTCGGAAGTGTATGAGAAAATAAACTTGTTGCCAAATATAAACTGTTAAAAGTTAAAGTACATGGGGCTATTTCTAAATTATCACATTGTAAAGACTGTTGTATACTATCAGTATAACGAAGTTTAAAAATAAAGAATAATGAGAATAGTGGAAACTGCTTTCATACTCACGAAATTAGTGGTATGAATAAAATTAACTTATAGAGCTTTCTTCACATGATATACTAAATATTTTATATTGTTTGAGCTGTGGCTGAAGGCGAAACATTTTTAATATAGCTATTTAAACATTTTCATTAATTTTATTACATTTCTATTATTTGTCATTGCCTAAACCAACAGTTTCATTTATTTTCTGAGGTGCTATATATGTAGCCCCAGCCTATGGCTATGATAGATTCTGTACAGATGACTAGACCTTATGGATCGATGAGGAATCTTGGATATTTTCGTTTAGGTTGTTTCTGTTGATTATTTGGTTGGAAATAAAGAAAAACCTATATTTATTGTTTATTTAATTATTTCATCATCCCAAATCCTAAATTATTAAGCCATCTAGTGTGTTGAATCAGGATCGACATAATGTCGCATCGCATAGCACATTTCTAAGCCACATGTTGAGCCAGGTGCTGCGGTTATAAAAAAACATTTATTATCTACCTCGACGAATAAGTGTGAATTTTAGTGAATGTATTTAGTGATGATTTTTACAAATAAAGAACAGTTTCAGGCTAGACCGATTATTCTACTAATATTTTGGATGATGAATGCAGTGGCGGCTAGTGAAAATTAAAGTAATATTTTGTTAAAAATGAGTTTTGATTTATACCATTACTAGGTCCACAAAGAAAATCCTTACTACAGACAATACTGTTACTAAAAACCATTTTGTCTTTTCTCAACTAAAAAATTTTTTGGGATTTTGAAAACTGATGGAAACAGCAGTTTTTTATTTTTTTAATTCTCATTTTTCATAAAGTTGCAGCATTACAAAGTTTGAAAAATAAAAAGTTTGTATCAAATAAAAATTTAAATATGTATAAATATAAAGAAAATACCGTTTTCTTAAACATGAAAAAAATTCAAAAACTTTTTTGTGTGGCTGATGTGTAATCAGTTGATTACACATCAGCCACACAAAAAATCGACTTTCGAACTCAGAGGTCAGATCATGTTTATTATACGTTTCTTGGGTCGCTGAATCCGAACCCCACACCTCAGGATTTTTCGTAACCTATAAATAATTCTAATGGGCTGTCACCGTGAGACACCCTGTATGTTCGTCAATCGTTAGTCATTACATGCACATAATGCAGGCTGAATACAAACTCTTACTTCTCGAATGGGGATTTCAAGATTATTTATGCTTCTTTGAAGGTATGTATAACATTTTTAGTTGCATTGCATGGTGCACATGCAATGAGGAGAGCCAACAACACCGAAAAATAGTAAATACGGAGTTGAATCACTTGGAGTTAATGAGTCGACTCTATTAGGATTAATGAGTTTACTCGCTTGGGGTTAATGAGTTGATTCGCTTGGGGTTAATGAGTTGACTCGCTTGGGTTTAATGAGTTGACTCGTTTGGAATTAAAGAGGACTCGCTCGATCACAATTTAATAGCGGGTATTGCCGCCTCTGTTGCTGATCACTGATTCTAAGTGGTTTCACATATTAATGCACCGCCGGATGTCTCGTTGCGTAATTCCTTGCCAAGTTTGTAATGGAGCCTGGGTCAATTGATGTTGATTTTGTAATTGCGGATAATGTAATCGTCATCGAGGCCCGAGCATGTCCTAAACATGCTCAACGGGGTTCAAGTCGGGACTCGTAGGTGGGTGGTTGAGAGTTACTACATTGTTGGCATGAAGAAACTTTCTTGTACGTTTTGCGGTATGAAGATGAGCATTATCCTACATGAGAATGAAACGATTCCTCATGCTTTTACACATAAGCAGGACGTGTGGTTCAAGGATTTACCATAACGGAATCGCCATGGTAACGACAAATGATTTCTCGATCGGCTTTTAATGATGGTTCAGTTATGGTATGTGCAAGCGGATCCATTAGTACCAGAACTCAGTTGGTAATCATTCCCATCATTGACTGCCTAAAGGTACATCACCCTTTAGTTTAACTGAAAAAATTGTTGTTATCAAAAATCCATAATTACGCCTTGTAGAGAATATTTTGCAATTTTTAAAACCCTGCCTGGATTTTCTGCACGACCATTATTTTCCGAGTAATTGATTGCCAAAGTCAAAAATTATTTTTTTGCTTTGATCGACTATAACTCAGCGACAAATAATCGTACAAGGCTCCGGAACCGCTCAAATTGAAAATAATTAAATTATCTAAAGAGCTTTATGGTGAAATTACCAACAATTTTTTTTAAGTCCATAGGCCTTTTAAAAAAAGCAAAAATTTACAAATTTTTTTCCGTTGATTTTTTTATGATTACTCAAAAACTGCTGACGCTAAAAAATTTTAAACCGCAGATCTGAAAACCACAATTTCCTTTTTTTTATTCTCTCTACTACCATTTTCCTCCAAGTTACAGCTTTTTGAAAATCTTCCAAAATTTTGTGATTTTTTTAATATCCCTTAAATTATGTGCATAACTAGTGTATTTATATATACAAAATGAATAAATAAATAAACTAACGTAAAGTTGCAGTGAAAGCTGCGGTAGTGACTGCTGATGATTCAGCTCAAAGGATTTAAGGTCTTATGAACTCCATTTTATACTAGGTTGATTATTATAATAGTACAGTAAATCACATACAGGGCGGTCCTAAGTTGTCTTCCAATATATGGATCATACATTTAAAAAACAAGTACCACTATTTTGTATACAGGGTGTCCGGAAAGGTCATGTCAAAAATGAAGGGGTGTACAGGGGAAGTCCAAATAGTTGTAGTACTTCATAAAAATGTTTTACCTATCAGGCTTCGTTGTGGAGTTATTCGCCTTCAAAGCAAGAAGTCTGAAATACAAATTCCAATGATAACTCTAAGCAGAAACAGAAATTAATTTAATGGGCCCAAACAGTATGGAATAACCTCTACAGACTTTTCATGGACAAAAGAAATGTTTCCAACTAAAAACTTCTAAGGAAATAGTTCTCAAAACATGAAATTCCAAAATCACTACATAAATACCAGTGACGTAGCGTGGGCTATCGCCGCCCCCTCTATTTTAATTATTAATCAAGAAAATTAATAAAAGTCAAATAAAGCAGCTTTAAATTTTTTTATTAATTAAAAATGTCCTTTTTGTGTTTTTTTCATAGCACAATCTTCTATACAATTGTCAGTGTCAATATGTATGTCATTGTACGCGGGAGCGCAAATGGCTCCATCTGTCGTGCGGACTCCCAAAATGTGCCATTCAAATGGCTGCAGTAGGAAGCGACCTGCTAACTGCAGGTACTTTGTTGCACGACTGCCACCCACAGAGGGCGTAACACAATGTTTGAAGTGTCAGTGTTGCGTGAAACAACTACTCCGAGAGCTATACGCCCCTACCGGCATTGATTTATACTTGCAACACCTAGTGCAACAGCTAGGATCGTTTGTCAGTTTAACTACTCACCAGGCACAGACCGGTTTCGGACTTATTAGTCCTCATCAGTGTGTCATAGGTGCGACAACCGACAAACGACCCAGGTGTTCTTCGTCGTTTCGTCACGACAAGGAAATACATTGTACGCGGGAGAGCAAATGGCTCCATCTGTTGTGTGGACTCCCAAATGTGCCATTCAAATGGCTACAGTAGGAAGCGACCTGCTAACTGCAGGTACTTTGTTGCACGACTGCCACCCACAGAGGGCCCCACACAGCACATGACGTCCCTGGGATATCCTCATTTAGTCCTATATATCCTAATCGGGGATCTCACTCCTCAGGATATCCTGATGATATTTAAATAAGACAAGTAGATCCTATCAATATCCTAGTTGGGGATATCCCAGGTAAATCCAAACAGGATGTCCTGGAAATATCCTATGAAGATATTAAAAGCCGAATAATCTCCAATTTTGGGATATCCTAGGCAAATTCTAGAGTGCATGCGCAATTGACGACATGACCCGTATCTCGCCATTTTCTGTTTCTTTGTTTTATAAGTTTGAAAAGTGGAAAATGAAATTTAAAGCTTGTTAAAATAGTTAAGTGACGTGCATCAACCACCTGCTGGCAGAAGTAAGTATTTAAATTACCTTTGGTATTAAGGTTTTAATATCATATAATAAACATATAGGTTAGAATCGTATATAGTATTACCTAATTTTGTTCTTACTGTTTGTATCATGCAATAATTATATAATGCCAAAAGAACGCATTAAAAAAACTTGTTTTCAAATATTTTTTATATAGAGCCTAATAGCATTCAAAAATTAGAATAGTTTTTATCACTATTTGTAATAGATGTGTATAAGTGTTATCACCAAATCTACATAATATGTTCAAATCTATAATTTTTAGTTTTGAATGTGTTGTATATAGGTGTTCTGACAAAGGATTGTATCCCATAAATTTAATTAATTTATTATAGTTCTCTGTGTAATATTTGTACCAACATTGTGAGTTATAAGGAGTACATTATAAATCGTAGGCAGAATTACGTATTATCTATTAGAATATTAGAATTAAATTTAATATCAACAGATTATAATTCATAGTTCATGAAATTAGAATAGTCTCGTTAAATGTATTTAATGAAAATTTTTGTTTTGTCACTCGTTTACAATGTAAATGTATTATTAACATACTTTTTCTACAAATTTACAGCTGGAATTTCACAAGCACATTGCACAAAAAATTGCCCAGAAAAAGATAATGGGGAGGGCATTAAAACATGTCGCGGCATGCAAATGAGAGACTATAAAAAGAGACCAGATCAACAGCACATAAGGAATAGTTATACATATAATACAAATAATAACTTAGTTGTGTATATAACTTTGTTTATATTCTGTAATAAAAAAGTTGGTTATATGTATCATAGAAAGAGTTGATTATATATATATAAGTACATGTGAAATTTGCTTTTTAAGTTTATATTTATAATGTGCAATGAATAAAAAAATTCAGTTCAATTTTATTTTTTTATTCAAGAACTCAGTTTAAAAATAAGTGCTATTAAAGTTTATATTTTATTCTCATGAAGTACTTTAGGTCTTATTTGTTCCAGTTTAAAAAAATGCCTCAAACCAGTTTTATGAATAATATGAACCGTTGCTGTGTATATCTAAATAATTTGGAGATGTTTCTGAAAACTTGTATGTAGTCTTGTCTGTAGTAGTTGTTGTCTTAAACAGAAAAAATATCTGCCGGTGGCTATGTTACAGAATTTTCTCGTCAGATTTTAGTAAGTGGGTGAGTAAAATGTTTAAAAAATACATACGTGTATCAACGATGGAATACTTCTTGCAGAAAAATGTAAAATGTCTTTAAATCTCATGAAAAGAGAATTTTAAAACTACCCTTTACGTATTTATGACGAATCTAATCGACAGATCCAAAATATTGTATTGTTAATTTTTATTCCAGTGGTATTCAAAGAAATCAAATCTCGTATTATAACCGAATAGATAAATGATCAGATTTCCCTTTTCATTTTTTTGTCAATATTTTTTTTTTTTTTTTAATAAAAAATAGATGGGAGTGGAAATGGCAAGCAAATGTTTTGGAAATTAGGTACGTATTTGATCTATAGAAATATTTAATACCACCCTGTAATTTTTTTATTAGCCCAATAAGTACTAAAAATGTGCTGTATATAGCCCAGCTTATGTCCTGAGGACATCAACAGTAAAGCCTACGTTGTCCTCATTTGATCCACTGATAACCTGATAATAGCCCGGCTGATGTCTTGAGGACATATACAGTAAATCCTAGGACGTCCTCATTTGATCACTGATAACCTGATAATTTCCTGCAGATAGCCAGGCGGATGTCCTCAGGACGTTACGAGCAAATCCCAGGACGTTCCATTTGGATATCCCTGGTACATCCTGAGGTGATCGTGTACCTATCCGAGGATATCCTATACATCCTGAGAAGTTATCCTCAGTACATCCTACGAATGTCATTGTCCTGTGTGGGGCGTAACACAATGTTTGAAGTGTCAGTGTTGCAAGAAACAACTGATGAGGACTAATAAGTCCTAAACCGGTTTGTGCCTGGTGGATTAAACTGACTGACAAACGATCCTAGGTGTTGCGAGTATAATTCAATGCCGGTAGGGGTATATAGCTCTCGGAGTAGTTGTTTCTCGCAACACTGACACTTCAACCAATATGTATGTTATGTTGAATTCCCAGAATGGCTAAATTTGATAGCCTCAACGTGGACATAGTTGATCTGAGTTGATTGCTTCCTTCGCAACTGGCACGACTGATGGCAGATGTTAAAAATTTCTCAACATTATCACAATGTTTGGTAAGGCATCTTCAAGTTTGCGCTCAATAATATATTTTAATAAATCCAGAGAGCCGGACTTGATGAGCTTTTTTTTACAGTTTGGGTCTGTTGCAACTACGAAAGCTCGTAGACGTACGCGCTCAAGTTGGAATTCTTCTTTATTAATGTCTTGAGGAGGGGGCTTGATTTAAGTTCATCCACGCTCAATATCACTGCAGTATATTTTTGCGCTAGATTCTACAGCTGTTGGAATCTTTCTCGAATTTCAGCAGTTACTCTGTCTATTGAAGAAAACATTGTTCGCCTTAAGTCATCTTCGTACGATAACTCAACATCTCGACTTCCGTCCCCAAATATATGTTTGCTCCTTATTCGTCTTGGGGGTTTCAAAGAAATTTCAAGCTCTTCACGTAAACTTTTACCATATCTTAAAGCGTCATCCACGAATTCCTCTTGTTTTTCTTCTAATACGTAAAGCACTTATTTTCTGAGCACATTGATGTATATTTAGTCCCTCTGTTTGCAAATACTTTTGAGCATCATTGACTTCACGCAGTACCGGCTGACAGAAGCCTAAGTAACATAAAAACGAATATGATTGCATAGCGACTAATAAACTTCCTGCATCTATCATGTGTTCGAGCTTTCATTCGTTTCCGTCAGTTTTTCCAGTATAGTTAAAGTTTATTTGTAATGATGTCTAATGAAATTTACAGCATTACCTCTAGCGCGCACATATGTGGCCTGAACCCTCTTCAAACTTCTTCCTGTGGTTCCAAGCATGGTGAAAACAGAGTAGTTCCAAGAAGAACTTCCCACCGGTGCGTCGACGTAGAAAAAAAAGCGTAGCAGCGTTCTAGCGTACCAAAGAAAGTCATCGAATTTACCTCTACTGAAGCTGCATGTAGATAAACCAGGTTTAGTGAATGGTTTGAGCAAGGAACAAATTCGTGTCAGCGCGGGCGCAATTTGGAGTTTGAAGTAGGATATTTTGATTTTTGATTTAAAAAATCGCAGTGCTTGCCGCCGTGCCTTTTCGTATGCCGCTCGGGGCTGTGGTCCCCTCTGCCTACGCCACTGAAAATACATACATAAATAATAATAATAAATGTCTTTATTTTCATTACTCAAACAAAAAATTTGCACAGTATAATCAAAAATTATACAGGGTGAGTCAGTTTTTTGTAGACAAACTTTAACAGGAGATAGAACACATGTTTTAAAAAATAAAAGTTCCTATAAACATATGTCGTAGATGGCTTCGTTTCCGAGATACAGGGTGTTGAATATTTTTTTGTCTCGAATTTTCATTATAATTTATAAACGAATTCTTAGATTTTTTTCATATTTGGGAGATAATGTCTATTAATTAAGTGGCATAAAACAAGCGATAAGAATGTTCAAAAACTTGCACAGTGGCGGAGTGGAGGGGGTGCTCAACCTCTTTCTTAGACAGAACTTCTACGCCAATGACTATTTTTTAAAAAAAACTGTTATTTTAATTATCTACATACAGTTTAACAAAAATAATGTCCCTTCTTCCGTTTCGAAATTCCTGTGCGTTTAAGAGTTATTTTGATTTTTAGAGTTTGATGTGGTACTAAATTAAATAATTTATTTATTATCAATTATTTGTTAAATAATTAATTCTATTAACGAAACCTACCTAAATATAGTTTGTTAAGGATTCTAAAATCCGAAATCTCATATTCTTTATCTCTTTCCAATGTAGTCAAAATAAATATTTGTTATATCAAGCTATACTCAAATACAAGACTTTTATAAGTTGAAATCTGTTACATTACATATGTATATACAATACATTATTGTGCAGTTGTCAAAAAGTTTTAAGAAGTTGTTACTTAAATATTGTTCTAAATTCAAAAAATTTCTCCATAAACATTAACATCAAGGTTTTTTTTTGTAATTTAGTTGCAGTACATTAGTATTTACGCAGCACATAATAAATAAGGATTGTTAAAATTAGTGTAGGTACCTACTAAACAGATTTCAATTTATAAAAGTCTTGTATTTGAGTATGGCTTGATATAATAAATATTTATTTTGACTACATTGGAAAGAGATAAAGAATATGAGATTTCGGCTTTTTAGAATCCTTAATAAACCATATTTAGGTAGGTTTCGTTGAAATAATTAAATATTTAGCCGATAATTGATAATAAATAAATTAATTTAGTACCACATCAAACACTAAAAATTAAATTAACTCGGGAACGCACAGGAATTTCGAAACAGAAGAAGGGACATTATTTTTGTTAAACTGTATGTAGATGAAAATAACAGTTTTTTTTTGAAATATTCATTGGCGTAGATGTTCTGTTTAAGAAAGGGGTAGAGCACCCCCTCCACTCCTCCACTGTGCAAGCTTTTGAACATTCTTACCGCTTGTTTTATGCCCCTTAATTAATAGGCATTATCCCCCAAACATGAAAAAAATCTAAGAATTCGTTTATAAGTTATAATGAAAATTCGAGAAAAAAATTATATTCAACACCCTGTATCTCGGAAATGAAGCCTTCTACGACATATGTTTAGAGGAACTTTTCTTTTTAAAAACATGTGTTCTATCTCCTGTTAAAGTTTGTCTACAAAAAACTGACTCACCCTGTATACAGGTAAAGAAAACCACAAGGGGAAGTTCACAAAATTGTGCTCTACCACTTAACCCTTGTTCTAACCTAGAGAAAAACAGTGTATATATCTGGTAGATAAGACAGAAGCAAAACATTTTTTTGCTTCTATCTTATTTTACATATCCAAACATAAACAACATTATACAAACAATATAATAATATAATACCGTCAAACATAAGCAACGCTATACTTTCAAATCAGTATCACTACTGACCCGAAAACAGAACATCTCTTAAACATCTCTTAAACATGGACGAAGAATATATTTTGAGTTCGGTAGGTACGGAATTGTACAATCGATAGACATCAAACGTGAAGCATCTCTCAAAAAGAGCAGTAGTATGAATAGGAGGAGAGATGGAACCCTTATTTCTTATATTAATATGATGTACATCACATCTGTATGTTATTTATGTTAGATATGGAGGTTTTTGCCTAGTGATAATTTTATGATATAGAGTTAACGAATTCAATTTTCTCCGATTTTTCATATTCAACCATTTAATATCAGATAGTTTATGAGAAATATGCTGAAACTTTCTAATACCAAAAACGAAACGCAAGCATGCATTCTGTACCCTTTGAACGCGATTAGAAAGATCCACATCCAAAGAAGGTCCATATAATGGAGAACAGTAATTAAATTGTGAAAGAACCAAACTCTCACACAACATCTTTTTGGTGGCAACATTTAAATATCCTCTATGGGGATACAAACATCTTAAAGCTCCATACATCCGTCTATATTTAGAAACTTGTTGACGGTACCTGAGAGTGCTGTCTAAAATAACACCTAAATTTTTA